CAAGTATGGATTGATTAAGTGGTTGTTAAAGATGTTTCCTCATGCGTCTTGCAAACACAGGCGATCAGCACCAGTGCATACTTCACCTCTGATACACACTCCATGTTGTTTGTCATCGTTTGTAAGTAATTATCCAGATGGTAGCAGCGAAGCCTGACCTTCAGCTCAGGAAATGCAGATGAATTGAATGAGAGTCTCTGGTAGGTGTATACGACGACTCCAGGTGCTTCAAGCAAATCACACCAAACCACAATACAGGCTAATAGAGATAGATCAAAGGGAATTCAGACCAAGAGACAAACACGTAAAACATAGAAAACACCGCAAGTTGCACAATTGTGATAGAGTAAGAAGATGTACAGTAATACCTCTGTTGTTTAGACTTGAGATTTGCCAAGAGGCCCAAACTACTGCTGCATGTGTGTGCTGAACTCATGTGTGGTGAAGTGTGCAGTCAAAGGTTCAGCTAACCACCAGCTAATGCAAACATCACATGCACACGTTAGGAAAGAGCATTGACTCCATTTCCTAATGTGTTAATTGTCTACTAGAATGTTCATTGTAAATTATGTTTTCTCTCAAACAACCCAATTAGAAGTGTTGATTTGGTTGTTAGCATTTTTCATCAGAATTGTGACCCATTTCAGTTTCTATAATCTGTATATTGTTTAAGTACCAATACTCTTTTGTTAGGGTTGTTTTAGTACTTTTACCCACTGTGTGTGACACACACACACACACACACACACACACACAGTTTCTCCAAGAGGAAACAATATTTTCCTGCTTGAACTTCTGGTGTACAGTTGAGGCCACTCATTAGCATTGTGTTTGTACTGTCAGAGGCCCTGACTTCCTTCAATAATGCCCCTGTTCTTTATGAGAGGGGCAGCTCATAAAGACTACCCCCCTCACTCCCCACCACCACCAGCTCATCTGAGCTGCCCTCAGGCCTCCTGAAATCAGCTACAATACAACACTTGTGTCTCTTTGCTCATCTGAATATGCACATGGACATTGGCTTGCTTTCACAGAACGTCTATATTGGTATAAGAAAACAGCCAAGTCCGGAGTCCCACTGGTTTGTGGGCAGCATCCGGTGGCTGACGAGAAACAAGAAGTTAGTGCCATTAAAATAAACTCTGTGAGGGAGACCGGATTACACCCTCAGTGTGGGGGCTTTGATCTTGTGCCAGCAGCACAATTGGTAAAAGTGGCACCGTAATTGTCATGGCAGTGTCTCCTTCTTTGTCAGCATATTGATATAATCTCTTTAACATGTTGGCTTACATCCCTGAGTTTAAATATCATGATTAGGTTAGCTATTAAGGGATACTTACTACACTAATATTGCACGTAACATATAAAGAATCAGACCAGTGACCAGACTACTTCCCAGCAAGTCAATAAAAAAAGTTAACCATCAATATAAAGATTCACACTTGCAAATACATTCAAAGAAAACATACGTATACTTACTATGCACAAACATTGTTTTGTTACAAGTATTTCTGTGCTAAAGCGCAGCAGTTGCAATATGTGTGGTCCAAATCTGACTTGAGATCGATAACTAGCCTAAATATTGCATGCAGGGTCTAATCTGTCTAATGATGTACCAAAACAGAATGAAAGACTAGAATGGGGATGCATGACTCATTCTGGTGACTATGAGTTGCACAGATGTGGAAAAGATAGCACCAGAACAGTTGCCTCAGCATTCCAAGCCGCCATGGTTTATTTTTGTTGGAAAGATAATTGTCTTTGGCTATACACAATTTGGAAGTTACCCGCCAAACTGCCAGGAATCCACTTTGCAGCTGTGTGCGCCCTCTTAAGGCGACATTGGGACTGGTTTTCCAAAACAACAGTGAACTGGCTCGTATGACCACAGGAAACTACATGATGGGGAAAAACTTAAGGGAATTGACGTGAATCAGTGGAGAACAGTGAAAGATTTGTAAGTTAAAGTAGACTAACAGTAAAGTAGACTAAAATCAACTTTTAAGAGCTCTTGTTTTTACTACAGTTGTGCTTTACAACTAGTGTTGATATCATTGTTTTGGCAATATTTTGTGGGTGATGAATGATAACACAAACACCTTCCTTACAGATGTAGACCCATTTATTGTCAAATAAGACACATTTTCTATTTTCAAATCATAACATAATTCAGCCTGTTCCCAACTGTTTATTCATGTACTTGTCTTGTGCACACTGGGGACTTTTGCACATATATTCCAATGTGGTTTTACTGCAAATGGCAAATTAAATAAATCTAGTTCTGGATCTGAATCTGAGCCACTCTGGAGAGATTTCAAACAGGCAGTTCATGTAAGGCGGTTCTTTTCGGATTAAGAACTTTTACACTACTATACTACACATGTTATTGAGAACTGAGGTATGGACACTTCTGATCAGGGTCAGGAGAGTGCTTTCTGTTGTCATTACAATTTAAAAATAGGATCCATCATCTAACAATGACTGAATAACAAGTTTGTGTTGCATTTCACAATCTACTAAATCTGGCCAAAATATGACAAACGTCTCTGCCTGGGCTGGTAAAGCACAACTGTATGTTATTTAAGACAGTAGTTGATCAGTTAGTAAAACCCATGAGCTGAAGGTCTCCGGTTGGAATCCCGCTCTTGACATAACATCATGTTGTGGAGTAAATTCCCAACTCAAGGCTGTCTGCTCTTATCTCACCTCGGCGGGCGGCGGCACACCAGAATGTAGGGACTATACCGGACACTTACAAGCAGCCATTCCCAAACTCAGTAACACCGAGGCCCCCTTAAAAATCTGACGGGTCTGCGTGGCCCGCCAAAATAATAACCAAGAAGACAACATTAAGAATAGGCTCTTCTGGTTATTTTATTTTGGGGAAATAGCCTCTGCTACAAACATTGTAATACAAAAATGATTACAGTGGATCATTCAAGTCAAATAATGAACACAAATATTTTAATATTACAAACAAAACATTATAAATTTAACATTAAATAATTATATTATTTATTTTTTTTTTTTTATGACCTCCCGCGGCCCCCCTGCAGTACCCTCGCGGCCCACCAGGGGGCCGCGGACCCCACTTTGGGAGACACTGCTTACAAGGGTCCGAGAAGGAAAACGGGAACTCTGCCGGAGGAAGACACCTGCCTGGACCAGACCAGACCTGAACATTTAGAGACAAACTGACCACAGGTTGGCAGGTAAAAACAGCCATTGTGCCCTTGGCCAAGATACTTAACTCACCTCAACCCCAGTGCCTGCTTACACTCTTTTATAAATATGTGTGCCAAGGGGTTCCATGATTAAGTCCTTTTAATGCCTTGAAAGGTAGAAAATGTACTTGAGAAGTGATCCATTTATATGCATGTGATTTTTACTCTTCTGCATTCAAGTGGCATTATTCCAAAGATTCCCTTTTCACCGCTAACACATTGTCTTCATCTACAGTGATTGGGAAATTGCAAACGTGTGAGTCACTCGTAATAGTAAGACACTATGGGATAAGAGCTGAGAGAAAAAAACATATTCAGGCATACACTGAATATGTGTTAAGTGTTTTTGAGAGCTTGGATAGAACTGTTGATTTTGCCCTTACTGTACAAAATCAGGAACTTCTTTTTAGGTTATCGAAACGTTTTTTTTTTTTCAGTTGAATGGTTATGAAGTTCTTATCTCCATAAAGCAAAAGGGCCACTTCATTATTTAAGACAAACTTTCCACTCACAATGTCCCATCGAAGTAGATTCTTGATATTTTAATTGGTCTAGTTGTATAGCCATATTTACATACACACACACACACACACATGCACACATGCACACATGCACAGACACATGACAGTTTGGGGAGCAAATGAGGCTAATTAAAAAGCCATTCTTTATAAAGGGCTCTCGTGGAGCCTGCAGTTTGCACCGCTCTGGGAGTGTGTCCACCTCACACTGACCATCCACCACCTGCCACGTCCATCCCTGGGAACGGATGATAAGAACGCAGATGTTTCATGGCTTCTCGACCACGACTGGACAGCATCTGACGTGGAACACACCATCTCCAAAAGACAGAGGGGGATTTGTCTGATTTGTATACTTTAGTATCAACAGACAAGCTCGAGCACAAAGAAGGCTATGTAGAATGGTAGTGTCCGAACAGGTCAGGGATTAAAAGGTGGTCTGCACACTCGGGCCAGAGCCTACTATAATATTCAAACACACAATGTGGACCTTTTTGGTATTGGCATTTGTGCTCTGCGCTCGGGCATCACAAAACAGTAATGACACAGCAGTGGAGGAGAGACCTGAAATTGCCAGAGCTACAATTTTTGTAAGTATAAAGAAACAGCCCTTTTACAGTCTGAAAAGTCTGTCTTATTTTAAGACCTGTTCCATTAGAGAATATCTTGTAAAAGTCAAATGGTGTGAACAAATAAGACACAACATGCTGTCTTTATCATATTAGAAAACTTTAGATCTCTTCCTCTGCCAATCCGTAAGAGAAAGAGTGGCTCTATATTCGTCACTTTACCGTTTTAAAAGCTGAATAAATACATGCATGCAAAAGTTTTTTGTCTCTGTGATAGACAGATGTTATGATTCTCGATTTCATATAGTTAGGTACCTCAACTTTATTGTACGTACAAATATAAGAACTATTATTTTCAAGTCTTCACTAATGAATAGGACACAATTATGCCACAACTGCTACTAGTATATGCAATAATAACATATTTGGAACCATATGCCATCCATAAATCAACTTAATGTCAGCTGTGCGCCTGAGGTGGGAATTGACAGGACTGTTGTGTATGGCTAGTTTATGTTTTGAATCCATTTTACTAACGGAAATCAAAAGCCAGGACAGAATGGAATGTGAACAGCTTTGTGTTTGATGAAAGTGTGCATGATCGTGTTGTTGTGCCTTGTGTGTCCATGCAGGCTCCCAGTGTGGTCGGGTGAGCCATAAAGAAGCTGCCGGAGCTCCATCACTTCCTCATGGAGCAGATGGCTTTGTAGTATCCTCACATGCTCCGAATAAACAGATTGGCATTGGCATAGTAGAAAGCAGCAGTGTATGCAAAGTGCTATAAGCAATATCTCATATCAGCCAAAGCTGTCATCAGCGTAAACAAGGAGAGAAGGAGATAAAACAGACACCCTTCAAATTGGTACTCAACTTAATATAACTATGATATATAATGTGTAGCTAATTTCAAACATGTAACACAGTGTTATTTGATTCACTATTTGTTTCATGTATTTCTTTTGTCTCTTTTGATCAGTCCTCTTTTGATTAGCCCTCACAGATAAGTTTAAAAGATTGAACCACTCTCACTCCAATCAGCCAAGTATGCAAAATAAAAGTAAACAATTTTGATGTTCTCTTAATTTAGATGAGGGATTCTTGTTAATTTCACCAGTGTGAGGCTGAATCATATCAGTGCCGGAAATCTGGAGCCAGTGGCTACTTTCAGGTGTTAGGACTTATTTGTCAATCTCTCAAAGAAAAATCGCAGTCAGATTTTGGGCAAAACATTTTCAGCCCTAGCTCAACCACAAAATGATCCTGGATAAATGAGGGATTGCACAGGCAATAGATAGAGATATAACAGAGTGTTGTTTGTGCCTTGACTTGTTGCGTACAGCCACAACCTGCAGTACAACTCATCCGAAGAGAAGAACCCTCGTTTGGTTTTCTACAATGAGGATGAGGAGGTGGTGAAGGTGAGCTGTGTGAGCACTGAGGGAATAGCATGATGTTCTATTCATACATGTTGTTATTATGATTCCTTTTTATTAACAAAATGAACTTTTTACATTTAGTATTTTTAGTACATCCTGGGGCAGACTGACATAAGCAGTACATGCCACCGGACCCCCCGACCACCACTAACCATTCACTCATACTAGGTGGGTTGATATGTGGGGGAAGCTTGGCACTTTGTATGTCTCACATCACCGTGGTAACCAAGCCCTGTCCTGCTCGTTTGAAGTGTTCCAGGATAAGATCTTGTCAGGTTTTAGAATAGGCTTTGTGCCGCTCATTTAGGATGAAATTCCACATCAACGTTTGTTTTAGCAATATTTGAAAATTGTTGCTAAAAAGATATACAAATATTATTATATATTATTCTAAAAAGATATACAAATATTAGAGATCCTGACCTGAAATAGTCCATAGAAAGATACATGAGGCACCTTTAAAAGAACAAATTGAATCCATCCATCACCAACACAAAGTATAATCTATGTATTTGTACATGTCATCATAGCACATACTTTCTATATGGTCTATACATCCGTGCAGCATGAACAAACAGGAACAGAAGGAAGAAAACCATAATATTTCTCCCTTTCCCCCATTTTTCCGGTTGCAAAGACAGTCTAAACACTCGTTAGTGATTTAAAAATGATGATCTTAATGATAATTGAACTTGTTCTGAGACTAGAGTGTTGTGAAGAGTTTTCCCACAGAGGTAGTATTTTTGTCACTGGCTCTAAAAGTCTCCAGTGAAACCAGCTTTAATGAATTGAGCGTTTTGCAGAACACATCACAGGGCTCTTGTGGGATCACAGACTAAACCTATACTTTTCTCAGCCATTGTTTATCACATGGTTTTCTGAGGCTTTCTGGTTGGCATTTTCAAGTATACTCAGGCTGGGCATGCGACTGGGCAGTGTGACTATTATTACAGTTTACAGCAACTGATTATCCTCTTTTTAAACTTGTTTTTATGTTCCGTGACTTATGCAAAGGGTTGTATTGAGCCATTTTGTAACATTTAAACGTTGAAAACAATACAGAAAAAATGGTTTTTGAGTTTTTTGCCAATGCAGGAAGGTCTAATCAGTGATGACTTTAAAGAGCAGGTATTTTCATTTATAGACCCGCTTCCTATGTGTTTATTATTATTGCTTTTCCTGTGATTCTCTGATCTGTGACAACCTGCTAAAGTCTGCCGAGACATCTGGTGTTATGATTAAGGGCTATAAAGAATGAACTGAAAGATTCCTCATACATAACGCTTCAGATTTGCATTATGGCGCAGCAATTGTTTAAAGTAGAAAAATCCTTTTTTTTGCTTGCATTTATCTGTATATTACTATGGAGCATGCTAAATCCCAATATCTAAAATTAGGCTGTAAACTACAACATGAACCTGTTATAGAACCTGCTTTATGATGGTTTATGTTTATGGTTTATGGTTGATGTTTAACAGAGCAGCAGAAGAAAATTATCTCTTCTGTGCTCCACTTTGTGGCCATTCCTGCTTTTGAAGGCCTCCTCCTATCAGATTGCTGAAGCTCGGCTGGGCCCTTGCCCTTAGGCAAGACACTTGGGTCTGACTCTGGAGTTTGCATTATTGGTGGTGGTCAGACCGGCTGATGGCACTGATGTGTTGCTCACTTCTTTCTGTCTGTCCAAGGGCAGTTGTTGCTAGTACCACCTCTGTGTACTGTCTTTGACTGTCCTGAGAAGCGCAGTACAATGCATTATTATTTTGGAGTGAAGGTGACTTGAATGCAGGATAAGTGACTCAAACTTGAGGGTAACATTAAAAACATCATTGCGAGGTAAATCATGGAAAAAAAAACTATTATTACATGGTTAGAATAGTTGATAGTTCTCCATTACAAAATCATATAGTTTCACGAGGCTGACAACCTGTATGTTTTATTAGCCCAATATGATAATAAAAAAGGACTAATAGCATGTGTATGTTCAGACCGTGCGAGTGAAGAAGATGAAGTCGGCTGACATCAGCAGTCTGCTGGACTCTCTGGGCTTTTATAAGAAGTCTCAGAAAGGGGAGGAGGTGCCCGAGGACTTCCAGCACCTCCCTCTGCGCGCTCCGAGAGATGAGCTGTGAGGACCCCGTGTGGCCGAACGCCGCTACTGCACCTGGGACGCACCAATGATGAATAGGGCCCAAAGGTTATACTCACAAACCAGGCTCCTTTCTGAAGACACGCTGGACCAGGGCAGTGCGCGGTTCAATCCACCATGACTCAATTTTACAAAATAAACAAGAACCTTTATTTTACTGACATTGTGTGACATTGTCTGCTTTGAGACTATAGCACAGCAAACATGGTGGCAAGGTTTATGGAATATAGAACGATATATAGATAGTGTCAAAAGGTCAGAGACTTGTGTGTTTGCAAATTTGTTTGTGTATTACGGAAACATTTTCATAGTAACAGAGTACAAAGCAATTCAGTGGTCTAACTCCCCTAAGAATACCCAGGAACAACATTACTGTCCATGAACTTGAAAAACACTGTTGGCTATTGAAGATCCTCCTCACAAAACAAAAAACAATCCAGTAAATTTCTTTATTTTCCCTCTAAAGATTCAGTTCCATTCTCAAATTAAATCAATTTAACTAGAATCCTATAAATGGCCCTTCACAAACCAAATGCACTGTTTCCAGCCTAATCCCCATCCCGCCTGCTCCTGCTCTAATCTGATTAGCTGTAGTGTCTGCCAGTGTGCATCTGTGTGGGATTAGCTGTTAGCGGCATGGGAGAGAACACACTGTAGTCTTATTGTGATGTTTAGATATGGTCAGGAGTGCAGAGAAGAACCATGCCTGTTTTCTACTCGCCTGTGCCGGAGAATTTACACATGGGCTTGGCCTACATGGGCAGCTCTGTCTTCACCAATAACAGAACGGCAGACAGCGATTATCCCAGAGATCAGAACAACACTTTTGGTAGGTTGAAAACATATATATTGTGTTTGTTGTTGTTGTTGTGTGGGTCTGAATCATATCTTATATACTGCTGTAATAACGCACCAACAGAATATAAACACCCATTATTTTCATGTGTGTTTCATGTGTGCAAGGGCAATAATTAACATTTTAGATAGGATGTCATAAGGAGAAATTACAGTAAGGAAGGACCCCATTATATTACATTACATTAAAAGGCAGGAATGCAAACAATAATGATTGAATGAAGGAAATAGATAAAAAATTACCCAAAAATTCAAACGAAGGAACCAGGAACCAGGAAAACAGACGAACAAAGACAATTAAGCAGCAACAAATGGGGAAGAGTAGAGGTGCAGTACATATAGGCACAGAGAGACATAGCGGGGAAGAAAATTAAACAGGATAGGAAGTCAAAGTAAAACAAAACCACAGAGAACAAAAGTTTAAAAAAAAAACACACATACACACATACACAGGAGGTACTAAGGTGACCCATGCAGGCAGGTAAAGGCAACTTGGGGGGCTTGAGAGATAAGAATTTGTATTTAATTTAATTTCAGTATAGAGTTATTGTTCATTCATCTTGTCTTGTGTTCTCCTCATTCCTACTGTTGGTGATGAAACACTCACATTTCCCCACTGTGGGACGAATAAAGAATCTGGCAACTTATGATCTTAATTGAAAAGTGTGCTCAGGCGTCATGTTGTCATTTCTCTTCAGTTAAAGGTAAGAGAGACAGGCTGTTGAAACACATTTTAATTTTATACTATTATTGTTCAAAAGCCAACATGAGTCACATGTTGTGCAAACTAATTGAAAAGTGTGCCCAGGCGAGGATGCGTGGTGATGTTGTTTCTCTTACAGAGCAAATGTCTAAAAGCATTTATCAGACCACAAATGCTACAGAAAATAAATAGAACACTTTTTTTTTTTTCTCAACCCAAAGGGATTTCAGAATAATGATTCAAATAGTGATGCATTAATTCAATCTTGGACAATTCCTGCAAAACCCCAGTTACTTTGGTACAATTGTGATATTTTTGCTATTTGGCATAAAGTTTGGCGACAGTGGCTCAGTTGGTAGAGCATTGGCCTTTGAGCCTGAAGGTTGCGGGTTCGAGCCCACCACAAGACCTACTTCAAGACTCCCACTGATGACTGCTGCCGTTGTGTCCTTGGGCAAGACGCTTAACCCCACTTTGCCTGAAGCCCCCACTGAAAGATCTCAGCTCCAGTGGACTCACCACCTGCAGGAGGATCAGTGAGGGGCAGGTGCTCTGTGTACTGGGTGCAGCTCTGACTGCCACCCCCCCGACCCAGAAATGGATAAAGGGGAAGATAATGGATGGATGGATGGTATAAAGTTGATGATGTATGAATAACACGATGAAATAGCCAGTAAAAAAATGCACACTAAAACCGAACACCGGTTAAATTCATCCCACTCTGACATAGACAGATAAAGAAGCAGAAATAAATCGGTTAATCAAACTTCATGTTCATGGTTTGTAAGATTATAATTAATTTAATGTTTTTATTATTTATAGTGTGATGTGTCTGTTGTCTCTATGCCGTCTGGAACTGGTGGTACTTGAACTGTTCTTTGTGGGATCATTCAAGTTTTTATAAAGCTCTGCTCAGTTTGCGTGTTTTCACCTTGGATGGATGGGGCCAAACGTTTGTCTCTTACGCAGAAATAAAAGGAAAGTCACACGGCCTCCTGAGAACGACACAATATGCTCAAGATAATAATAAAAATAAAAAAATAAACTCACATGGGCTTACAGTACATGCGCTAAAGCGGGAGCGTCAAACTCATTTTGGTCAGGGGTCAAATAAAAAGACAAGGAAACTGGTCGGGGTCAAAAAAATATAAGGGATTTCCTTTTCGTATTACTTTATGAAGGTATGTTGACATTTTTCTTAAAAAAAAATGTGTTTATTTAGATTCAACCAATACTGGGCCAAAAGTATGGTTAAACACCTTGTTTTATATTTAACTATGTATCATCTATGAGTTGTTGGTTAACATTTTAGAATCAAAATTGGTTGTTTTCCTGAGAAAATAATAATGATAATAATAATGCATTGGTTTTATACAGCGCTTTTTCGACACTCAAAGACGCTTTACATGTCATTATTCATTCACTCCAAACACGGTGGTGATAAACTACTACTGTAGCCACAGCTGCCCTGGGGCACACTGACAGAAATGAGGCAACTAGTATGTGCCATCGGCCCCTCCGACCACCACCAACCATTCACACACACACACCAGACTCATTCTAGGCAATGGGGGTGGAGTGTCTTGCCTAAGGACACAACAGCAGTTTTGCACTTTACAGCCCAGAGGTTAAGTGTCTTGCCAAGGACACAACAACAGCAGACAGTGGGAGTTGATGGTAAAAGTCCTGAGGTGGGCCCGAACACATGACCCTCTGGTTTAAAGGCCAATGCTCTACCAACTGAGCTACTGTTGCCCATGATGTAGATGATGTAAAAACATGGCTTGGTAAACACATAAACCATCAATGCAAGTGCTTCTGATGAACTGCAGCAAAGACACACCTTTTATGTTTTAGTTAGTTTAGTTGAGGATGAGAGAAGATGGACATGACACAGACAGAGCAAGCACTAGCTAAACATTAAAAGGGTTTCAATCTTGGATCTGTAGGACCACTCTTTTTTGCAGACTATAGATCCAGCCCGTCTGTGCACAAGTCACAGAGGTGAGACTGTTTGCTGATTGGACAACATGTCTTCTTTAATGTCTCCCACTGCTGTGTGTCTGTTTCAGTGAATGAGCTGGTGTCCCATCTCCCTCTCCAGATGCTCCTCTACTTTAATATGTTCTACTTCCCATGTTGGTGGTTCTCTGCGGTCTTCATGCTGGATGTGAAGGTTCGTTTATGTATACAATAGAAATTAAAATGATCTCTCAAAATACGGTTAAAAATTGAAGCCTTGTGTTTATAACATAGGGCATATTGTCTAGTTACAAGAAATGTGTGGCAAGTTTAAAGTAATAATAAAGCAACAACTGATGAAAAAGAAAATGCTTAATTCTGCCGTGTTTTTGCTTAACTAATTACAAAACATCACAACACACAATTTTATGTAGTTTGTTTGACGGATTATTCTCTTTCACACAAGGCCTTTGCGACAGATGTGGCCCCCAATAAGTCATGGTTATTATTAACTGCAAATATTGATGGAAACAGATTAATATGGTCTGCATGGCATGTTATACATCATCATAAGTTGGACTAGCACTGTAAAATAACAATGGTGTCTCACTGTTGGATCAATGCAATCATGTATAACTTTGTGGAGAGAAATCCACCAAAAAATAACATCCAAACTCATATTAAACACAAGTAATGATTTGGTTTAACTATCTAAAAAACACAATGGATACCTTGGTGTAAAAGTGTTACACAAAAAAGTATGAAATTAGTATGACACAGTTGCTTTATGTACAAATGAAGGTAAAACTCAAATTGTTAGAAATTGTGAAGTTGTAAATAAAACAATTTACACCTGAAGACAAGCCATTATAATTTACATGAAAGTGCCAGCAAGAAGTTTAGTGGCATTTTCAGTGGCAGCTAGACAATGTCACTAAAATAGTTGTCACTGGTGCCACATACAATCCTGCCCTCTTTCTAGGTGTGTCACTGTTGTCCAACAAAAAATAAGTAAAACGTACACAAAACCGATGGTACTGTGGGTACAATAACGTACTGGGTTCCAATATCTGAATTTTGAATATCGTTAATGATATCTCAGTTATGAAAACAAGATGCAGTGAGAGAATGTTTCTACTGTATGTTTGATACCCCTGAGACATGTCCTGTGTGTTGCAGTATGAGTTTCTGGCTGGTTACTATCAGTGGCTCCTGATGACTGGGATTGTGCTGCTCACAGTAGTGGAGGTGATTCGCCTGTACCTGGGCTACCTGGGGAACCTGAAGGAAAAGGTGAGACTTGCTAGAATTCTGATTGTAACACTAGGACTCCCAGAGCTGTCGTTTTGACTGCTCCAAATTCAAAGTAATGGAATTCTGAAAATCTTTAGTTTTACGGCAGATTTGTGGAAGTTGAAGTTATTTCTATTATTGTTTAGATGCTAAAACTGGTGAATATAACTTTAAATCCAGCAAAAACCTCAGAAAGAAGGTCGTGGGTTCGAATCCCTGTTGAAACAGTGCCTTTTTGAGAGAGGTTTGCATGTTCTCCCTTTGTCTGCGCAGGTTTCCTCCGGGTGCTCTAGTTTCCCTACCACTAAAAACATGCACAATAGGTATGAATGTAGATGAGAGAGTGAATGGATGTGTTGATTGGGGGCTCTGATCCGCCAGTGTGTTTGGCGACTCGCTTCTGTCATACCATGTGGAGAGAATGGAATACTATATCTGAACTCTAAACAATTGTAAAGCGCTTTGGGTGACCTTAGTATGTAAACTGTGCTATATGAATATACCTTACTTACATACTTACTTACATATTGGAACTAGCCTCTCTTCTCTGATGAAAAACCAAGCTGATTCGGCTCAGAACCAGAACCATGGAAAATAAATAAATGCTATAGAAGGTTGGTTTTCAAGCAACACTAAATGGATAGATTTTAATGTATTTAAATAGATTTTTTTATATGAGCATGTGTTAAGACAATTCCAAGATTTTCAACTCAGAGTCAGTACATTGGACACAAAAACAGTTAAATCTCCAGGCAATGATACAAATGGCTAGCAACCAGAACTTAATGGGACATAGCATTGAACAGTGCAATCCGACAGGTGAGTGTGGTCTGTGCAGGTGCCGGAGCTGGCTGCGTTCTGGGTGCTGTCATTCACCTTCCCTCTGCCTGTGCTGCTCTTCTTCCTCACTGATGAAGACTCTTTAATCCTGCCACTGGAGAGAGCTGTGCATTCCTTGTACCTGCTGTTTGTGCTGGCAGAGCTGGCAGCCGCCTTCCTCGCACTGCGGACTATGACCCGCAAACTGCTGCTGCTCTTCCACCTGCGGCAGCTGGCCAGAGTGGAGAGTGTGACCCCTGTGTACGGCCTGGCACTGCCCTACCACCGGGGGGCGCTCAGTGTGACACCCATTCACCACTTGTACCACTGACACAACACATGTTTGAGTAACAGATGCCTTGACATGTAATATAAGAATTGGTTTTGAATGGTGTTCTTTGGGACACTTTTGACTCACATGGTATTATTCAGTGACTCCATGGTAAAACTACTGTAGCTACAGCTGCCCTGGGGTAGACTGACAGAAGTGAGGCAACTAATCTGTTCCATCGGCCCCTCTTATTACCGCACATTAATTTCTCACGTACCAAACTCATAATAGGCATTGTGGGTGAAGTGCCTAAGGGCTTTTCGGGTGGATCAACCGAAAACTATACTGACACCAAAATACCATAATGTGATTTGTGTTATGGAGAATGATGATAACATGTCCTATTTTTGTTTTGTTATTTTACCCCTGTTTGTTAATTCATGTGCCTTTTCAGGATGTGAATAGCTTTGGCCAAGTCTAAAAAGACAGATTTGCAACCTGGGAAATATTTTATTGTATTAGGAACAAGTGTGAAAACTTCAACCTGCTTGAACTAATAGATACAGCTTAGAACAATCAAATGTGTGCCATCATCTTACATTGTATTTGGTTTTGACAGATCCAATGGAATGAATTGAAATAAATGAATACCCCTCTTTTTATGTTCAATACATTTTATCCTCTCATATTTTTGAATAAGAGCTAAGAGTGTTTTCTGTTGTAGACGTTTGTGAATGTTCACTGTATTGTAAATATTGGTTTTGTTGCTGTACATCTCTCAGTACAGTTCATTTAGCCATACTCTGTTGCTTTGTTTCATATGTTTGCCTATATTTCTTCCATCTCACGCTTCAAAGTTTTTTTTTTATATGGAACAAAGTTAAGTGTGGTAACATGTGGCCTCCCCCATAGCCCTCACAGTGATGGATGACAGACACAACCCCACTATGCTGAATCATGACAGATTTCCTCCCTCTTTGCTCCTGTTTCTGGGAACTAAATTGTGTTTTTGAGTCTAAAATAGGATTACCGTCTCTCAAACGCAATATAAAGTAACACTTCTTTTATTTCTCGAATGTGTATATTTGGAAGTGATTTGATTTCCTCTTCGGCACAGTAAATCAGCGCCGGTGGGTGGGATGTGAGAATCTAATTTCAGACTGCAGTGGTGCAAGCACTACTCTTGGATGACCACAAGGGGACAGTGTTGTCAATGGAATGATCCTAGTATTTGGTCATAGCTGAAACCCGGGGTGTCTAAAAGTCATTTTGGTCAGGGGAGCAGGTATCTTAAAATTACAGCAGACCAGGGCCAATTTTCTTAAGTTTGTTTAAAGATTATTTCTTGCATCTGTGTTTTTAAACGTATTTTTCAATAGATACATTTTTATATTATGAAACAATTTTGACCAAAGGATCACTTATAACATATTTCAGTTTGGAAATAATTTTCATTGGATTGAACCAAAACTAGTCCAAGGCTAAAAAAGGACTGTCATTATAGATGTTTCCCTATTAATTGTGTTTTGGTTCAATGTTTGGAGGCGAAGAGTAGAGTTAGAGGCATTGGACCAACGTCTTAGTGAGTGAGAAAGGAATAACTCTTACAAAGGTGGACTCTGCACCTTAGTAAGAGTGTTTTTGTGTGCGTTATTTCCTTCTTTCAATTGGTAGTGCATGTGTCTCCAACCTTTTCACCCAGCGAGCTACTTTCCCCAAGACAAAGAATGCAGAGAGCTACTCCTCAAAAGAGGTCCTGGGAAAATATATGGGGTTAGTTAATACATCAACAGTGATTATTTATCATCACATATTCATGACGTGTGCATAAAGTGTAATAAATAATATTATTATACGGCTCCTCAGAGCAGCAGTAGAATGCTCCATTGATTTGAATGTAATTTCAAAACGTTCTACCGGTCATTATTTTCTATAACGGACCTCTCAAAACAATAATGACCGCTGCCCATGGCAACGCGCTCTCTCGTTGTATTTCAAATGCGTGGATAAATCCGCAAGTAGTTCCGGCCACTCCTGAGCTAGCCACGCTCAATCAACACACTTAAATGTTAATCGGAGAATACTTATACATATACATTCTTCACACACGTGCACGGAAATTTTCTGAATTTTCTGGTCTTGTCTTCATGACAAAAATACTATTTCTCTCAAGCCCCGGCGATCCAAGATGGCGCCCTATTCAAATGAATGGTTGTGCTCAGTGGCGCTTTGTGATGGCATGGGGGCAGAAAGATTAGCGGAAGTTGCCTGAAACTCGCAAAGATCTATGGGAAACTCGCCTGTATTTGGGCATCGTCTGGTCCTCCCGGTTCTGCGCAGTGGATGATCTCCCATAATGCGTTGCGCCAAACACGCGTGTGTGGGTCTCACACCGGGTCTCACGCACGTGCACAGAGGGGCTCGGCCGTGCTCCGACCAATCAGAGCAGTTCATCAGAGCGGGAGTTAGAGCGAGAGCCAGACGAGCAGAGTTTGTGGCAGTAAAGTGTGGATTTAAACAAAACCGAAGGATTTAAGAAGAAAAAAAGTTCAGGATGACAAGGGACACTAAAATCCCCACAAAATCCGATCTTTATTAAAGCTGTAGGTTTTCTGTCAGCTGAGGTCGAGCTGTTTTAATATGCATTGAGTTCTATGGGGAAAATTTCTGGGTAGCCCACGTGAATTTAGTCTGGTTCAGTCTGCAGTACCGCGAGAATCCCCCGAGCACATGAGTTATTCAGCCACAAGCTAGTAATACCCTATCCAGTTAATATAATACATCCATGATTTCTCTGCGTCAAAAAGCGATCGTGAAAAACCCGGAAGTAGTTCTGGCCGCTCAATAAACGCAAATGCCAATCAATCAACGCAATGAAATGTTTATCGGAGAGTGAATTATACAAATCCAGTCTTAATACAAGTGCACGGAAGTTTTCAGAATTTTCCGTTTACGTTTTCATGACAAAAACACTGATGTAATGCGAGAAAAGGCGATCCCGAAAAACCCGGAAGTAGATACCGGCACATTTTCGGACACATTTGCAGAGGATTGAATTATGGATTTAGGTTAGGTTTATGTATGGGTCACTCACCGCTGATGTTCAGAATTCTTTGTTCAGTTTTCATGCAGTTCCAGAGAGTTCTAGTTTGGAAGTTGCCAGCCTAACTGTTGCTAGCATAGCCACAATTGTCAAAGCCACACTGCCTGCCCGCGGTTGCCGAGCAACGGGAAAACTTTTTGGGACTACTTTATTTGTTGTCATTAAATAAACTTTTGGCATTCATAAAAGTGATCTGAAGTTTATTTTGTATGTTAAGTTGGTACAAAGCAGTATAATAAGCGGGATAATGTATAGCATACAGGACATTATCCCTTACATAATGAATAGTACATTATGAAATATTCTGTATTATATTTTTTTCATTTCTACATCCTATGGTGAGCTACCTGAAGGGGGTGGTGAGCTATACTGGCGGCTGCCGAGCTACAGGTTGGAGACCCGCGTGGTAGTGTGACACCAAATGTTATATTGTTATTGTTTTATTTTCTCTGTATTGTCTCTGATGGTAGAGCTGCACATTCTTTTTGGCAGAAATCCTCCAGGACCTGTAAATTACATACACTTCACAACTGACCCAATTATTAAAAGTATGAAAATAATAATTGAAAATAATTTTGGGGGCCACTAAAATGTTTGACACCCATATTTGTATTTCCCATTTATCATTTGAGAGCCAAACAGTGCGGAAAAAGAAAAGAGTCGATCCCAGGTCTTTCCTCTCATCAGCATAGCATTGCCACATAAGTTATTTCAACCTGAGATTCGGAAGATTCGGAAGAAGTTTGTTCCATTCGGGGATAAAGGCAGGTGTGGAAGAATGATTGAAAACAACAGATACAGAGTGACGAGCAAGAGTGAGATAGAGCAGTGGTTAACTGTTGGAATTGACCCGTACATCCAATGCTACAGTACTATAGGGGAACCTGTCTGGAGCAATGGTCGCTACAGTGAGGTAAAATGTTTTTCAACTCTTTCACTTTCTTCTCCTCCATAAAAAACCCTCTATTTTGAACAAATATTCTTTCTACACCACAGCAATGGGCTATTGTATGATGTGAATATTCCGCATTTTTCCCTTCTATTCACCTCATATAAATTATCGTGTATAATATAGATACAATATAAAAAAAAACATATGGCTCTTTTGTCATTTTATCATAACTTTCATTCAGGCGTTCAGACCAGCGATCACTGTGACCTTAAATCTGTTTGTAAAATGAACGAAATGCATTACAGTCTTGCAGCAAATCCATCTGCAGCAGTTGGAGTTAATTTCCATGCAGTAATAAGCACAGCAGGTTTAACATCTGGAAACACAGAGAGAAAGACTGGTGCACACCAAGATTTGGCGTTTTATTTGTTTTTTGTTTTTCTCAAAGTAATGATATATTGGTAATCCAGATCAGCCCCTGGCAACGTAATGTACAGTCTTTTTCTTTTTACTCATGAGCTTCTTCCTTGTCTGATTAGGTCTCTTTCAAAACTTGTGTACAATGGCCCTGCACAGCACCGACAGAAGGGAGAGGATCTTAATTATGACAGGACAGAGCTCACAGGTAATCACAGTACAAGAGAGGGCTGAGCAGTGGGTCGGCACTTGACACATCAGGATAATATCGACCTGTGTCTGTGGAGTAGGAGCTTTGCAGAGAAAAAAATTTAAGAAACTAGAGAAGATTCTATTGTTGTATCTATTATTCATTTTTTAGAAACCTACTCTCTAATTATAACTAGGATTCTGAAGAAGGAGCATGGGCACGCGAGATTAACTTTGTGCAGAGAGTGTTTTATAATGACGCATACACATTTTGACACATGCATAGACATTGATGACACGTTTTGATGTGACTTTATTGTCATAACAAACAATTCAACAAAATGTAGTTTGGCAGCAAAACAGACGTGTAACAGTGTTTTACAATTCACTGGCCTCACTTCAATGGCTCCCTGTCACATTCAGGGTTGACTTTCAGATTCTGATGCTTGTTTTTAAATG